GGCTCAGGCAATCCACTCACCTCAGCCTCCCAAAGGCACAGGATTACAGGCTGAGCCACTGAGCCTGGCTTCAAAATCACATTTCTAATACCAATTATTGACATATTTTATTGATTACCTAACTGTATATTTTATCTTTTATGTTTTAAATGAAAACCACAATGCTGATCTGTCAGACAATTAACATATCAAATTATTTTCAATGTTACAAGATTTTTTTTTTTATCAACTTTTTTAATTATGATATTGTGGGGTACAGTTAAGGGTTAGGTATACAAATATGCTTCGTTGAGGCACCCTTGTTGATAAAAGGTGTCTCCCCAACAAGATACTTTTAAAAACTAAATGTACCTTGATTACTGCTAAACTTAGGAGCATTAATATAGTGAGTTTTATTTTCTCGTCTACCTCTGTTTTCAATTCTAAACTTTCCCAGAGTATGACAAGACACAACCAATAAGAAAACAATGTTATCCAGTCTAATAAATTATGCTTAGCGTAAAGCTGAATCACCATTGCAGGGAGCTGGGGTTATTCCTAATTGGACCGATTTCTGACTGGGACAGGAATCCAGGGGGCTATGTCTACCTGGAGCGACTGTTCCCAACAGATGCTGCCTTTGGAATTCTGGGGAAGTTCAGTCCTCCAGGCTTTCGTTTCTTAGGTGGAACTTACTAAGGGGTACTAGTGTTACTGGTTCAAATGCAGATTTCTGGGTTCCCCTTCCATTTCTGCTAAGTCAGGATTTCTGGGAACTTGACCCAGGATACTTCATTGTTAATAAGGTTCCAACTTGGGGGCCATGGAAAATTTGGGGCAGGGTGACTTAAGGGGGTTTGATCTTGTGCTGCCCAGGGTACAGGGAACAGGCTGTGTCCAGATATGAGGAGTTGAGACCTGACTTGGGCAGCGGTGATAGTGGAGACAGAGGGTCAGGTGATGTTTGGAGCTCAGACTGAAGGCAGACGGGGAGAGGCAGAGGCGGTCCTGAATCCAAGTATCTGGTTCAGGAGTCTCACTCAAGACTATTTTTACCTTTCCTATTTGGAAACTCTGGCCTCCTGGGACCTGTAACTATCTGATGAGAAACTGTGTTTCTAGCCTGCAGTCCCTGGAGCCCAGATTCACACTCAGCCAACCTTCACTGGGCCTTGGGGTGCTAGGCAAGACCTCGTTGGAATCAAGATTTGCCTTGTCAGCCTTCACCCAGAGGCTGAGGGTAGTGTCTGCTCTGTCACCTTTATCTGGTGGCACCAGGTTGCTGGAACCCTGGCAGCTCCCTGAGGGAGAAGGAACAGGGTTTATCCATGCCTGACAAATTTTTTCTTTTCTTTTTTAAGGCTAGTCAAGTGAAGCAGTAGGAGTGGAGAAGGAACAAAGAAATCTGTAACTGGGTGTGATCAGTTGTCAACACCAATGCACTCAGACCAGCCTTCACTTTTTTGAAGGGAAATATATAGATACACA